GGATCTGGTCCATTGGAAGTGCTGCCTTGGCAGCTGCTGAAGTTGATGCTGCCCGCGTTGAATGAGCCTTATAAACGTTTGTATCCACACCTGCTCTTTGCAAGCAGGTCTTGATCCAGCGAGATAAGGTTTGAGTTGTTACTCTATTATGAGGTCTGGTGTAACTTACAAAGAATGAGTTCTCATTCCCACGAAGTGGTCCTGTGCGCTGGACATAATGTTTCACATATTTTACAATACACAATCTTCTATCAGGTGGATATGCTTCCAATTTAAAATTAAAATCGGTATTTCCTGGTTTGCTTTGCTTCAAGTGTTCATCCAAATGAAAAACCACAAAGCCCCCTTTTAGGGTCATCTTGTTAGTCTTCAATATATGCAAGGTTTGCACTCTCTGTGCCGATACAAGAGCCATTAGCATACATACTTTGAGTGTTAAATCTCTGAGGTTTAAGGAGTTTACTGGAGACAATTTTCTTTGAAAATTGAGGACTGGACTAATATTCCATATTTCTGTATATCTAGGTACGACAGGTCTGAGTTGAAAAACACCTCTCATCAGTCTGGTTATAAGTGGGTGAGTACTTATTGTCTGATTACTGTCAACGAGAATCAGAAAAGTGGATAAAGCGCTACGAGCTGTATTGATCGCACTGTAGCTAAGGTTCCTGTCATGAAATAAACTACTAAGGAATTCTAGTACCGTTTCCACCTCGGCTTGGAGGTAACTCGTATTCCTGCTGTGGCAAAATCTTCGCCACTGTGTGATGTACACTTGGTACTGCTTGCAGGTTGATGCTCTCCATGAAGCTGTAATGATATCCACTGTTCGTCTGCTTAGTCCCCGATTCTCAAAATGTTGCCGCATAACCTGCAACATAGGAGGTCAATATTAGCATTAAGAGGGTGGGTGGTGTTTAACACAGGAAGGAGTAGCAAATCTTCTTGCCTCTGGATAAACAGTGGCTCTCCTTCCATCATGCTAACCAACTGAGGGAACCACGCCTGAGTAGGCCAATTAGGGACCAGAAGTAACCCTCTAGCTTTATCCTCTCTGATTTTTTGCAAGCATTTGGGGATCATACAGAACGGTGGGAATGCATAGAATGCAAAAGGTTTCCAATCTAGCGTAAATGCGTCAACTGCAAACGCCCCAGGGTCTGGGTGCCAAGTGACATATTTCTCTACTTGAGCATTTAGTCTCGAGGCGAACAGGTCTATTTCTGGTACACCAAAGTGGGAAACTATTCTATCGAACACTTGTCTGTTTAGTTTCCATTCTGTTCGATCATTAAATTTCCTGGATCTTTCATCTGCAATAGTATTGAGCCGACCAGGTACATGGGCTGCGGAGACCCAAATATTTCGAGAAATGCACCACTGCCAAATTTCTCTCGTCATCTTGTCACACATTGCGGACTTGCAGCCTCCCATGTGATTTAAATAAGCCACTGCAGTGGTATTATCTATTCTTACCATCACATGAACGTTACGCTTATTCATGCAAAAGGATTTTATCCCCAACCCAGCGGCTAGGGTTTCCAGGAAATTTATTTCATTGTTTCGTGCCCTTTCTGCCTCAAATTCATTCCAACGACCCCCTGTTTGCTTCTGGAGGTCAGTAGCTCCCCATCCAAGGCCACTGGCATCTGTGTACAATTCTAAGTCAGGTTTTTTCCTAACAATTGGGGAGGAGGCCATAGAAACATTGTTCATCCACCACTTTAACTCCTCTTTTGCCTCAAGGGACAACTTCATCTTTCTGTCAAAATGACCCCTGTTTTGTCCGAGGGCTGCAATTTTGTCCCTTTCCATTGATCTATAGTATAAGGGGCCATACTCAACCGCAGGGAAAGTTGCTATGACCTTCCCAATCACTCGTGCTACCATTCGTATTGATGGGAGGTACGTGCCCATTAATTCACGGCATAAATCTTTCACTTCTTGTGCCTTTGTTTGAGGCAATTTAACAATCATACTCTCAGTGTTAAGAATGAAGCCAAGAAAGGCTAGTTCACGTGTTGGGATGAGCACTGATTTTTTAGTGTGAATGAGGAATCCTAATTCTGAGAGGATCTTGGTTGTTGCACTCACACTCTCTTTCAGCTTTTCTTTTGTTTCACCAATAATTATGGTGTCGTCCAAATATCCTATGACTGTATGACCTGCTTGTCGCAGTTCGGCAAAGACTGGCTTCAGCAATTTTGTGAACAGTCTGGGGGCTGTGCTGAGCCCATTAGGTAAGGCTGCAAATTGCCAGCGCTCACCCTGCCACATGAACCTCAAGTATTTTCTACTATTTGGGTCTACTGGAATGGAGTAATAAGCATCTTGGAGGTCGATTGATGCAAGATAACAGTGCGGAGAAATCAAGTGCTTGGCAGTGTGGATGTTATCCATCTTAAAGTGTTGTACATTCAGACTTTGATTAAGCTCTGATAAGTCTAAGATCATACGAGTACCCCCATCTTTCTTGGGTCTCGTGAAGATGTTTGAGAGGAATTCTCCCTCTTCAAATGAGCAAGGTTCTATTACGTTTTTTGCTTGTAGAGCCAAGATTTCTTTAGTAATCTGATTTATTTCTAAAGGGCTCTTTTTGTAACCGTAGAGGGGCTTATTTCTTGAGGGAACCCCTTTCGAATAATCAAATTCGATCTCATAGCCTCGCACTGCCGATAGCAGAAATAGATCTGACGTTAATTCACGCCATCTACGATAGAAATATATCAATCGACCTCCAACAGGCACATTTGAGATGCATTCTTGTTGTAATGTACATGAAGTAGAAGGAGCATTAACATTCTCACAATATTCATATGTGCTACTTACCTCTTTGGGTAATGGTGTAGCTATTTCCTCCTTGCTGCCTGTGGCCGCTGGAAGGATTGGGTCTGTTTTCCCATGCTCATCGTCTGGGTGTGAGGCGGAGCTCTGTATGGTCTGCCTCGTTGGGTTCGCTGGCCTAAAAAAGGCGTGTTGTAGTTCCCACTTGCGGGCCTGCTACTTGGAAAAGTTTGTGATGTGCCGGTGGCACGGTTCCATCCTTGTCTGCGGTATTGAAAAGTGCTGGACGCTTGCGTCCTGTACGGATGGTACTGGGGGCGGGGTGTACGTTGTCCACGCACCACGCCAGATGCAGCTTTTTGTTGTTCTGTAAGATCTTTGACTCTCTTTGTTAAGTCATCGCCAAATAAGTACTGACTCACTGGTGTGGCAGGTTTGCAAAGATGTGAGTACTTGGCATTTAAGTCTGGCTTAATCTGATCTTTGCGTAAGCAGTTGATTTCAAAGTTTGTGTTACACAGCAATGCCAATGCATCCTGTTGTGTCTCAGATAGGCTATCGGGGGACAGAGTTTGAATAAAAGCTGTGAGTCCCCTTGTCAAAGGCTTTTGGATTCTTTGCAGTTTCAAATCACGGCTTCTCCTTTGCGAGGATAGGTTTTCCCATATTGCTGCATTCACTTTGGGGCAACACAGTGGAGTACAATTGCTTGGAGGAGGGTATTTCCCTCCAGCTTCCTCCAACACATTTTCCTCTAGCTGGTGGGACATGAGGTACATGGCAGACTTTGCTAAATCATCGTGGATCGCGCCACCAACCCCAGTAGGGATAGCAAATTTCTGAGCCAGGGCAGGAACTTTGTCCTCATTCTCCTGGTCTAAACCTGGTGCAACAGTTTCGTTGACATCACCCTCATCCATGCTGCCAATGTCATATGACGTAGGGCATTGGCCCATGTTTCCAGTGTCAATATGCTCAAAATCATCATCATCATGTTCAACTTCACGAAATCTCACGTTCGTCGCAGCTGTATATGCTGTCGGTGGTGTATCCCCTGTGGGGCGAGTTGCAGATTGACAAGGCAAAAAATCCACCATTCTCTCCATTAAGGATTCCAATTTGTCAAGTCTTCCTCGTAAATCCGTGAAGTCCTCCTTTTCTTCAGGCTTTTTGCCCTTCTTTTTAGGCCCAGAGTTCTTAGACTCATTCGAGGCAGGCTTTGCCAAGACACTTTTGCGTTTCGTATCGGAGGATTTCACTGCCGATGAGCGCTTTGGCTCAGGCTTCGTAGAGGGGCCCGCGGCGGTTTCGCCCGGGGAAGTTCCGGCTTTAGCCGTGCTCAGCGTTTCGCTGGTTTTCTGCTTGGTGCTGCCTGACGGAGACGCCATCGTGTACGTGGAAATCGGAACAAAACTTCGATTTTTGATATAAAAACAGCACAGATTCTCAAAAGTCTTCCAAAAACATGAAAAAGGAGAGTTTCTCTCCCTAATGAAGTATTTTTTCGAAACCGGTGGTCCGAAAAAACGCCGAAAATTAGGTATTTTGACTGCTGAGGGAAAGTTACTTTCCCTGTAAAAATCAATTGCGCGGCGAATTGACTGCGCATGCGCTTGGCGGGATCTCATGTAATTTCGAACGACGAAATATGAAATAAAATATCACTTCAGAAGGGCGTGATTTATAAAAAATAAGCGTCTCAAGTTATCAGTAAATGTCAAGGGTGAAACTAATAACGTTTTTTACCTTTGAATTTCGGGGATTGCGTGGATAATAAATCTGATTTCTTGAGCCAGAAAGGGGTCCTTTCGCTCAAATAACACGCGACTAACGAATTGCTGATTAGCGCATGCGCACTAACGGGGTCTCATTTAACGTAATCCCGAAATTGGTATTACGTAGTATAATGAATAATCTAAACACCCTATGAAATGAAAGCTTTATGTCATTGAAAGCAAGTATAAATGTACATAAAAATCCCTTGTCATAAATACCAGCAAATTCATAACAAGCTTGTGAAATCATAAGATGTAACCTTTGAGGTGCTACTGAACATTGCATGAAAAATGGGATGTGGTTGCTTTAAGGTGAGGGTTTACTAAGGTTCAGGTTATGGAGTTGGTTCTAAGATCAAAGTTGAAAATTGACAAGTGTTACACACTGACTGCAGATCAATTGTAATCAAAGCAGATATCAACCAATACTTGATGACCTACCTTCACTGATTTGATACTGAATGTCATGACAGCATGCATGATGGTACAAAGCTGCTTGTGGACATCCACCAATGAGTGATTAGGAAGGGTTTGATTGACAGCAAGTTCTACCAAGGGGGCGGGCCCTTGAATATGCTGCCATAGATCTTCTACATCGAAGATGGGAGTCAATGAAGATTCCGCTTCAACCTGGAGATTAAAAACAGATGTGATTTACTGGTACACCAGGAAATGTTTCATAATTAAACATAACTGAAAGTAAACAACAAACATAAAAAAGGACTGACATTTATGAGTAACATTCAATTTAGCTTTTACACTTGTCTAATTTCCCCATCATCTTTGAATTTCATTACATCAGTTTCACTACTCCAAATAAAGAAGATAAAAGTATACTATCTTCACTCGTTTAATACGGCAAATTGATTGAATAACACATATTTCATATTACAGCACTTTCCGACAATACAATATATTGAATTTTTCAATCTTCGCTGAAGTATTTATAGTATGAAACAATTTAATATGTACAATTGAACTGCCAAAATAGCTTGAAGTTCATACCTGATATATACAGTCCAGAAGATCTGTTGCAAAACCAAGAAATTTACCAATTGCTGTCTCACCCAAGCCTACATCCTACAAGAAGACATTCATAGAAATATAAGCATGTTATGATAACCAGAGTCTAACAATGTATCAAAAGCACAGAGTCATACCAAATATATCATTTGGATCATTCCCCTTGATGAAATCACTTAGTAGCATTTCATCTTGTTAAGAAATTCAGAGGCATAAACATATCATAAACATGAAGGTACACAAATATAGTAAAAATCTACATTCACAAACAATCTGAAATTAAATTGATTGAAAATTATTCTGTGCATGGTATTTTCTGATTTTGTTAAAGCCATCTCTGATATCATTCTTATCAATCCTTAAACTGGCAACAAACAAAAGCCACGTGGAGATGAATCTCAATAAAGAGTAGCAGTCAAGTAGAAGAATACTAACTTACCCTTCTACACAGTCTGTCTTTGGGGGCTTTCCCTACTTTGTCCATCAGGAATGTGGTTGCAGAAACTTTCTTCACCATGAAAGTATGCCACATCATACTTGACACACCTAATAATAAAAATCCAGTATATAGCATAAGTCAGGCTGCAGGATTCTGAATATTGACTTGACTGAAATAGGTAAGGATACATGAACTGATCAAATTTTTAGTATTTGCATGAGGTATTAAAAAAAAAAAATTATTTAGGTTTTATTTCCACATTAACTGCATATGAAAAGAATTTACAAAGTAAGGCATAGACAAGGTAACAAAACATGTACATAATGTTTGATACATACAACAGCAATAAAAAAACGATTTAATGGCAAGTCATTAAATACAAATGATGCCAACAATAATCTGCAGTAATGAGGAGGAAACCTTGGAAGCATTATGCTTGTAATTAAGGTTCCCTTTACATAATACGTTTGTTACATAATATATATATTTTTTAAATGCTTCATTACAAGAAAAATTCCATGAGAGAAAAAGATTACAAAGACTACAAATTATCAACAAGAATACAAACAATCTATTCAATTATCTGCAATGTATGAATTACAGTATGCGCTAAGTATAATATCAATGAGGAACACAACCTAGATAACACTTACCATGTTGAAGTACTGGGTTTCTAATGGATCTTAAATGATAAAGTCCACATGCTAAGAAGCCTGTAATCTGTCAATGTATAAACAAGTTGAGTATGACATTCATTAAGTTTGAGATTTCACCAAACTTTGAGAAAATAGTCACCATAACAATCACCTTTTTTCCACTTACACATTTTTCTTAATTTGTTTATGTTGTTGTCATACAAAATGCAATAATTTATACATTTATCATCATCATTATCATCATAATCATCTTCATATCACCATCATCATCATCACAATCGTCATCTTCATCATCATCATCATCCACATCAAAATCATCATCACCACCACCATCATCACCATGTGCCATTCTTTTATTTTTACCTCTGGATTTTTGTTCCACTGTACAACATACTCCCACGTGCAATGGGCCTGTAGCACATCATGATCTAAGCTATGTGGGAATCGAGAACACAAGGTGTGGAAGGTCTCTGAAACAAAAGCAAGAATAGAATCCAATATAAATGAAAACTCTTTATCTATTAAAGGGAATCAAATACTACAAAAATCACATCAATTCAATTACATTTCTTTTCTAGAACAATGGAAATTCATTTCTATTACATGCATAATACATATATATACATAGATAAACTCTCAGTGGTTTCTCTAGAACAGCATATGTTAGTCTTCTAGTATTCCTTTATCTCCTTAGTTCATTAACATCGAAAGATTACACATGAAATCCACAAGTCCCGTTTCATTATTAGCTGATTTTTATATCTGCTCAGGTCTCCATCTCAAAGACCATTCTACAAAGCCAATAAGGACATTTTATGACATACCCTGTAGTTGTTCTATTGCAGCAGTTTCATCATGATCCTGTTCAACATTAGTGTCGTCAACACGACTTGACTCTCTGCTCAGGTTCAAGGCATGACTACTAACTGAACACTTGGACAAGAAGCCTGGTGGAATGCGGTAGTGAGCTACCCATCGAGCAACCATCTCAGCAAAGATTCCTAACAGACAGCAAAGTGAAAATGAAGGAGTAATGGTTAGCTTCAATGCAAAGGTTCATGACGTGATAAGAGCTTCCAGATGTTTTTCTCAATGTCCCAAATGAAAACAGAGACTTTAAGCTCCAGTAGAAAAAGAAAAAAATTGAAAATTGCCCAGAGTATTAAAAAAGAACACTTTTTCTGTATTTTCTTTTTTAATGGCTTGTCTAAACAAGAATGTTTTAGACACTAGTATTATGTCTAATTCCTAAATAAGAAATTTGATCTGACACACAACAAAGTTTCATTCAAGGAAGAGTTTACTTCTCTATACCTTTACCACCTTCCATGACATGTTTGACTGAGATGTCAGGCACAGTGACATCAATTGGTGGAAGAGAGCCCTCTATTGACCATCCACGAGAATAGTCCTTTTGCAGTCGGCTTGATGTTGCCTGGTAAAAGAGAAAACAAATAGCAGAGCACAAGTTCATGAAGCAGCATAGAATTAGTGCTGTAGTCAAACGTTTAACCGTCCGGTATCTGACTGTCCATGGCACTATCCGTTTTCAATTGGACGGTTTCGTTTTCCCGTTTAAAAAAAAAAAAATAAATAACTTGTTTTAAATAATAATTTTGTTTTGGTCCGTGTTAAAAGACCCATGCCGGGAAGGACTTTCATTTAAAGGGAGTGGATCGCCAGTTTCCATGTGCAGAAGGCCATAATTCGCTGACACCAGACTTGGTGGAAATACCATTAATGGGGGTACAAATTTGCACACAGCAAACCCATAGTCCAGTCAAGAATTACCCCCTAATCTCTCGGAGAGCTCGAGAGTCTTCGGGCAAATCAAAGCATTACATAAGGTCCAATGGTCATAAAACTCAAGGCTAACCCTGGTGATTGACAACACCTGTTATTGGGTAAACACCCGAACGGTGTCGAATTCCCCATGAGAGCCGACTACTCAGTGACTTTAACTGCGAGGTGCAGTTAAAGGCGCTGATTTGTGTTTGTGAACTTGTGACAAATAATAGTAACAATGTCGTTTTTAGAAGAATGTGTAAGATCATTAATGAAAATTAAAAACAGTAGAGGACCTAGGATAAAACCTTGTGGTACGCCGTGTGTAATAGAAGAAAAGTTGGAGGAAATATTATTATAAACTACATATTGAGACCTATTAGAAAGATTATTTTCAAACCAAGATGACAGACAAATTGGAGTGTTGTTCTAGTTTCCGAGTGGTGAGTCAACACACCGATAACTGAGCTGGGAGACATTGCCAGGCATAGTGCCAGGTGGAGGGGCGTAAATTGAAACTTAAACAGAATTGGAGATATCCGTGATGTTACAACACTAATAGAATTTTCTTCAATCTATACCTCACTACTTGAAGAAATATTTCTCTGCTTTCATACTAGAAAAGCCAAAGGTAAAATGAAGTCTGCTTCACTTCTCCTAGAACAAACTGATTTAATCCCCACACAAAAATCATGTATATGTGCACCATATGTGCCATCCTTGAATTATGTAGGATTTGATAGGAGAGATATCAGATATCAGAAGATGGAGAGATGACCTAACATCACACAAGGGAACGGCCGCTTGGACTAGGATAGCTAGAGACAGAAGAGAATGGAAATGTTATGAGGAGGGCTTTGTCCAACGTCTGATGAACTATAGCCTGATAGATAGATAGATATCAGTGTCTGGATATCACACAGAATCCAGCATACAGAACTATGTTGCATGAGTGATGCCTACAGAGTAAAAATGAGCCATGTAATCAACTCAAACATTGCTCCATCAATATTCAGAGCCAACTTTTTAAGCATCAATGATGTTTTGGGTTCCTGGTGTTACTGCCAAACAGCATGAAAAGAGATTAAATGTAGACAAGTTTCACAAAGCTGCTGTACCAGTGGATACCGTTGAATTTTGTTCAACTTTCAGTAATAGTCAAGAAAGCACAATCTTGCACTTATAATCAACAACAAAAATTATGAACTGTAAACTATTATGATAATGAACAAGAGCGTCATTACTTACAACAAAATATCCTTTATATGTTTAAGATATCATAAGTGTCTCAGAAAAGACAGATATATCTTACGGTAACTCAATCAACCTACCTTGTTAAGCTTGGTCTGCAGTAGTCTCTGAAGCACCATGAGATCTCGGAGCTGTTCAATAAGGACCTCCCACATGCTCACATCCACCCAATCAGGTGACAGATCTGAGCTGGGCGTGGTCACAGGATCTCCATCCACATCCATCTGATCACTATCCTGTAGTTTGAAAGGTAGGAGCAAAGTGAAACTAAGGTGCCAGTCTTTGGCATGAGTAATAGATGGAGCGCCTTGAACACCATGCATGGTGGAAATGTGCGCTATATAAATATCCAATAGTATTATTATTAAATAGGATGAAAAAAATCATGTTCATCTCTGGAAGTTAATCCAGGACATTTTTAAAACATCATACTTACAATACTTATTTGCGATGTTAAAAAGAATCATCAATGATAAGCATCAAAGAAAAGCATTTCCCATTCCATTCAAATATACAATACTTTAGCATATGGTATATTAATAATTTTGAAATTGTGAAAGTACACCAACAAAAAGTTTGTTTGGCTCTATAAGGAACAACTAATTCACAAAATACAGCCTCAAATACAAAACTTCTTTGTATGAGATAAAATTGGAAACCTACACTAATAAATTATTTCACAGCAGGATGTGACATTATAGACTTTGCATTGTACAATTCTCAACACTTCAAAATGAGGACCAACTACATATATAATTGACTAACCAGTAAACCTTTGTAATCAGCTCCTTTGTGTCTGTCTATATCACTGACCAGACTCCTCATCACCATCCCTGCCACCTCCGCCCCGCATACATGGCGTGTCTCATAGAGCAGACCATGGATGATCTCCATCTCCCCAGGGGATATGTTGACCCCGCCCAGGGGGCGAGGAGAGAAGGGCATGGTGGGAGCAGACACCTCTGTCATGAGGGAGTGAAGGTTGGCTGTGGTGGTTATAGGATCCTTCAGGAATTCATTCTCATTATGGAGCCAGACTTGAAGAAGAAGCATCTGAGCAGAACAAAGAACGACAGATAAACTTAGATGTCATGAAAAGCAGTTGCCTCTGACTTAAGTTGATAAAAAGCAAGATTTTTAAGTAACTAAAATGGTTATGTATACTGGAGGGATGAAATAAAATGAGGGATGAGAAATCATTTAGATCATAGGATTGTTTGTTCTCTGCAGCACCTTTAGATGTCCTTTGGTATTTGGAACTCTATCAAATCATTCTTTACATTTGAATTTGATTTACAATGCTCTTTGTGAGGTTGACAATATTCAAAAGATGAAGTGAAATATGATGTATTCCTTTCTATTGTAAAACAACAATGATTGTTACTGGCCTTAAAGAAAAGAGGCTGCGGACTTTCTACTTTAACATTCTAAAAGAGGCTTCACATAAATTCAGGACAATAAATTACATTAAAATTAAATGTGCCCAACTGTTAATTGCTTGACCCAGGAATATGCAAGTTCGGTGACATACTTACTTTGATATCATGTGATCCTATCTCTGTATCTCTGAACACCTCACACAACTCATATGAAGAACAGCTGTCAACCAAACATGGTTTGAACATGTACATACCTAGAATAAAACAATCAATAAAAAGATAATGATTTAACCACAATCATACAAAGTCCTAAGTTTTTATGTTGGTCTTTTCACTCTTCAAGTTTATCTTATCAGACAATAATTAATTCAATGAATCATTAGTTTTCTCTTCTGAAAGAAATAAAACATCTGACAGCATGGTTAGAATACCCTCTCCTTGTAGATCATATTATATCAAGGAGAAGGTCTACTTCATGTTGGTAGGTATTCCATTATATTATTTGATAACGTCTTAGTACCATTTACGTACCTTAATGTACATCAAATAAAACAACATATTTTTTGACATGTAGACAAGCACTAGGCATAAAATTCAACTTCATTCATGCCCAGCAAAGAATAAACTTTCAATGTACCAGATATGTACGGTATCACACATTTCATACCTAATGTCAAACGTTTCTCTTCTGCAAGATTCTCTTTGAAAGTGACTTTCATCTTGAGCTCCTCAGTGAGTGCTGTAACTTCTTCCTCTTCATTCTCTTCCTGTTTCTCCTCTGTTTCGTCCCCTTGCATTGTCCCTTCCTCCTTTCCTTCCTTGTTTGCTCTCTGCACCACAGTCTTGAAGCAGCTCAGGAATGTAGCTGGGTCCATGCTGTAGTCAGATGCGAAGTGCACCCTCGCTTGGCCCGAAGATGACAGGTAGGAGCTGAGGTCATCCAGAAGAGACTCGACAGAAGTCAAATCCTGCTTCAATTTTGAAGCCAGATCCTGGAAAGAATACATATATATACCAAATTATCAACAAAGTGTAACATATATTGAGAGGCAATGAATACTTGACTCCTTGAAATGTTTCTGCAGCTGAATGGAAACTGATCATAAATATCGGACGCAAACAAATCTTAATATCGGGAAATGTACTTCTTTTCTTTCAATTAAAATTTCAGCTCAAATAACTACATCAACTGGTAGTATGAGTTTATCACTAGTTCTATACAAATATGTGACTTTGTAATACAATGTCCACCAAACACTGACCAGCATACTGAGCTAAAATACCATACAACGTCAGTTTGCTTTAGTATAACTTCACTGATATCAATATAGATGTAGATAAACTTGACCTTGCTTCAGAAATAATCACTCATAACATTTATTCATGTACCTTTGGTGTGATTCTAGATATAGATCCACTACCGCTTTCTTCTTTCGGGTCTTCTACCCCTCTTTCTCCAGTCTCATTCCCTTCCACTCCTTCTTCGGTCCTTTCCATTGCTGCTACCCTCTCCTCTCCTCCTTCCATCGTCTCAGCCTTCCCGAGCAGGCCTTGTATCTTGATGTAAGCCTCAATGAGCTTGACCTGACACCCACAGTACTGCAGGAGACGTCTGCTCTCATAGTCCATACAGCTTGGATCCTGCCCACCAAGCTGGTTTATCAGCACTCGGATGATGTGAAAGAGCTCCTCAGATGACATGCCCTTCGCTGAAAAGGCTTTGTCGAGGGCCTATCAAGAATAAAGGGTAAAGGCTTGGTACATAGATTGAAGGAAAGGGGTACAAGTAAATGGGAAAGAGAATTAGGGGGAGGGCAACAGAAAACACAAATTAAAATCAGGCACATTATTCATCAAGGTATAGCTCAAGCCTTCATGCTACAAGCACCAAAATTGAAAACTTGACAACATTTTCCAGTCATTTACCTGTGCTGATGCAGTATATAATGGGGATATTTCATATTGCATATAAACGCAAACTGAATACAAACAAAAGTGATTTACCTGTTGTTTATATGCAGTCAGTTTCAAGTCTTGAAGGATCTTACTAATCGGCTCCACAATAGGCTCTGCAACAAAAGGGTGAAAATGAAGAAGAACCTATGACTAAGGAAATATAGATGAAGATACCTGATAACCACTTTTGGCATTGTAAATCAACTTACACAATAGACCACCCTTTCAAACAAAAGAAAGGTTTAACAACATATTCAAATTTGATGCAAACTTTTTAAACAAAGGTTGTTCATGACAACCTGAGAGCTTTCCCAAGGCTTGCCTGACGTAGCAACAAATATTGTATGCAGACTGGATTTCAAGTATTGTAGTTCATTCATCACTAGGTCCCTAAAAAAGAAACATCCATAAAATTGAATATGTTAGTATACTAGTCTATTAGAAAACTAGATGAAGCCTCCGCCATAGTACGAATTTACAAACCAAAACAGAGCAAATTTTCAAATTCAAGTTTGATTGTAATCCATTAACAGGTTCTCAGAATATAGTGATACAAGCTATTTTTCATATACATGTATGACCCTTTGATCTTTGACCTCATGAACCTAAAGTCTAATCGATTCATTGGCTTTGCAAGATACATACATGACTTAAGTTTGGCAGGAATCCACCAATCGGTTCTTGAGATAATGCGATCACGAGAATGGGACGTACAGACATACGGACGGACGGTCAGACAACCCGAAAACATAATGCCTCCGGCTACTTCGTCATAGAGGCTTAAAAATAAGAAAGTGTTCTGCTGACCTTTGAGTGACCTTCGATGATGTAAGAGACTAGATAGCTTCTTGATGAGGTGAAGATCATGAGCCCTCTTACTGTTCTTGTCACTCAGAGCTAGATGGAATGGAACATTGAAGGTCCGTACCAGGCCACTCGGCTCCAGCAGGCAGCATTGTAACATGTGGGGTCTGGTGCGTGAGTCTTGAACTGAGAGACTGTTGAGACCCATCACACCATATCCTGGATAGAGAAGCCTGGAATGAACAAAGCAGATCATGTTAAGTGAAGAGAAGTTATTGGAATATTCGATTTTAGATATGACAGAGTAGGAAATTACTTTGGCAGACTTGATATCATACTTCATACAGACGATTCATATCAAAGATTTTTCATTCAACTATAGAAGAATTCTAACCCAAATTGAATTACAGAATTAATATGGCACATGACACTAATAATATTTATAACAAAATGTAGCAAAAATTTCTGTCATTTCCATACAAAAAACATGTTGGTGCTGTATTCTTGCACCCACTTGTTTAAAAAACACACAAAGTATGTCTGATTGTATCTTGAGCCTATATCATATCAGACTGAGTTAACTTTTTTTTTTAAATGGCCAGGTAGAGGATGTCCTCATGTTAGGTCCTAATGTGTGTAGGTATTTGTTACAAACATTTGTTAAAATATCATGCTTAAGCAGGTTTTAAAGCATTTGCAATTATGTGGTTGCACATCCAATAGCACCTTACTGCGATGCAACTCAAATAAATAGAAACAGTGTAAGCTCACCTGCATGACTTGGGCACATTGAATGCTGCTACCCGTGGTCCCTGCTGTGTGTTCCATACCTCTATGATACCTCTCCTAGGTGCATAGATGACTAAGAACAGAGCTACCCTAGGTCCATGCTTGCTGTCTGTACTGTGTCTGGGTCTCTTACTGCCATGCTCTGATGTACGCTCTCTGTGGATATCCTCTATCACTTGGATCCAACCACACTGGGCATCACGGTATCCTGCAAAATAAATCAGATTTTTATCTTTTTATGTTTATTTTAGCTGTGAGTTAGAATGATTGATGGATCAAGTTTTGAAATGAGTCACACCTTTTGGATGGTCCAGCAGACATTAATATAATCAGATTAGTTTGATACAAGTCTGTAAACATAACTTAGTCCTTAACCAATATATGTTCTTTCAAAGCCCTGTCATAGCAACAATAAAGTTCAATAAGAATGACAATTTCCAAGAACCTATATTATACAAGCACTGCTTTTTAATGGGTTCCTAACATTCTATTTTATCTATTTTATGAATTGAGAATCATTGACATGTGCTCATTTATACTACATTTGTGATGTATAATTTTTTATTTTATATGTATGTTTATATTTTCTGTAAAATGTGGAACAATAAAACTTGAAACTTGAAACAATCAAGTAGTGAAATCTTGCACAATAGTGAACAACATCTGCAGAAGTACAATTTTGCAGAAAATAAAAGCAGTGAGGTATTAAAACCGTTACAATGCAAAGTTCTCTAATACTGAAGTCAACTGGTAACCATTCAACACACACATCTGTTGTAATCAACAAGAGGCACTGAAGATACTATTAAACAGTAATGCCAAACATGGAAGACGTGTGCTTTACCTTTCCACATGCGTACTGCTACACCTCTAGTGACATCAATAAGAGATACCCTGCCAAAGCTATCAGTGCTGGCTGCTAACCTCATACCAGGAGCTAATACGATGGTGTCACCATGACGACGGACATCAGGTAGCCCAAACCTGCATCAAGTTGAAGAGTAAAAGATGTAGATATATTCACATGCCCTTCAAGCTAAATGGCATTTGCTGCTTATCAGAAAACAACAGTAGGTGAGATTTGATATCAATTGATGTAGCTTGCAATTTACAAGGAACTCTTACAAACACAAACAAATCCCCTTTGTGATGAATTCATTAAAGCTAATCTGCACTAGTTTGGCGTGAAGAGATTAGACCTCCCTGCATGGTCACTGACAGGTGGTTACCTCATCAAATCAGCTCTCAATTAGCATAAGAAAAAGGCGATCATGGGGGATCAACAGGTATCGCTTAGGCATTCTTTGCTATATAGAGTGAACAAGTAGCTACAAGTAGTGCAGTCCCACTTTAACTCATTTCAGCTTCAACTTTAAAAACATTGACTAATATAGAATCTCTAGTACCCATGCTTACCTTATTGGCAGTGATATTGCAGGTTCAACTCTTGGCTTTGACGTCTTGCTAGGGGCTGGCGTGTCTGTAGTCTGCTTGTTTCCACCAAATCCAAACCAACCACTGTCAAAGCAAACACAGATTCCAATTGTGAATGCTGCTTTATCTTGTACTTCAGGAATTATTCACTGACATGTCTATCTATCTGAACAAAATGTTCTGTATTCTGCAAAAGCTTAACGAACCACTGTTAAAAGTAAATGATGTTCAATCAATCATTATTTTATGCTTTGAAATGTCCACTTGCTTAACTGGAATAATAATGTATAGCCTACAGAATTCAATATAGAGCAATGTAGACATACCTTGCAGCAGAGAATATGGCTGACTTGAGCTTGCTGGCAACAGCTAAAGCCACATCAGAGAAGAGAGGTTGAGCACTTCCCTGAAGAAGAAGAAAGCAGAAAAATGACACTTCAACAAGCTTATATAAAACAAAACAAACTTTAATGGATAACTTTGAATTATTACATACAAGATTAGTACCGGTATGTTCCATTTCAAATAAACAAAACACAGATCTGGATACATTTATATAAAACCCCAAAGACCTCAAAATTCAAAAGGACTTACTAAGGGCAAAATTGTTGTGATTTATATGGTAACAATTACCTAAACATCAATATCTCAGAAGCATCAGTCTTCCATGAAATACAGTATACAATCTCTCATATTAGCATCCCCCAAATACTAATACACATCATGCTTTGGGCAATTCCACGGTAACGGAAGGACGCTCAGACAAGATTTTTGAACTTCAGGTTCATACTAAAAGAACTGTTTTATTAGCATAAGATGTGAAACAGTACAGATATAATACCTATATAAGTGCCTTTAATTCTCCCCCAAAAAATTGTCATTATAGTTAAGTAGTTTAAGAATGTGCATATTAATTATCTCGGTAACGGAAGGACATAAAAATGGACATGGTTTTTCCAGTTAATTAGTTTTTTCCAAACTCTGTGAAGTTGATGAAGCTTTCCACTTGACTGAAACACATTTTGTTCCCCATAGTTTAATACATACTAATAAAACAGTTCTTTTAGTATGAACCTGAAGTTCAAAAATCTTGTCTGAGTGTCCTTCCGTTACCGTGGAATTGCCCCTTTCCATCAAGATAGGGTATGAAGATTGAATACAGAATTACAATTGAAAGATATTCCTTCTATTCCTACCTCTAGAGCATAGAAGAATCCTAGGAATGGTCCGGCCCCTGTTGTGATATACTTGTGACAGATTGGGGGAGATTTCTTTATAGATGCATTGTATCCTCCTAGAGTAGACGCTGCATGAAGCTGGTCAAAGGAATAACTGGTCACAACACCTACACAAAACATAACAGGTGGGACACACATTATTATTCAGAATAAATGAAGCATCAAGCAACATACATAATTATATAAAACACCACTAGAACTTACCTATAATTTTCACGCCACCATTTAAACGAGAAGGTAGCTTCTATTACCCTTTCACAACCAAAAACTGAATGAAACTATCATCCAATAGATTCCAACAATAGATATTAGTCCTTCATGTGAAAATATTGACATTATTATCAATTGACTTACCTGTGCTGATGTGGTCCACTATGGCATCTTGTTGCTGCAACCCCCATTTCTTATAGGCAAGAGGTGGTGGTAGTATGTTGTCGCTACCACTGGCAGCAGCTACAATAAAAGCAACATGCACAACACTTCTCAAGTAATTTTATCCATTACTGTAAATAAATACAACTTTACCTAAAACACTGGTAACATGAATACCAGCATTTAAATGCTTTTTTGTGTACTTGAAATATGAACAGTTTCCAGTGAAGGTCTGTGCTAAATGAATCAATACTACATGACAATCTGGAAACATGGAGCATTTGAGTTACTTACCTAGCTTAAATTTCTAAATAATAATTTCCTAAGCTCTTTGGAGCGTATAGAATATTATACAAGTCATTATGTAGCATGCAATATAAAAGAACAGAACATTATCATAGTTGTTACTATTCTGAACTTCTTAGAAAACTATTATACTTGAACAAGAAGTTCCTGCTATCAGACCCTGTCATTGCTTACCTTTAGCTAGCTGATTCCTACAAGCTCTGAGTGACTGGAAAAGACTGAAACCATCCACAGTCACCAGGGCTGTAGGATAGAGAATGGTAAGCTCTTCTTGCTGCTCAGCTACTCCAGCATGGCGTGGCATCTCATACGTTCTACCTTTCAATTTGAGTACTGGGTCTTCATGGAGGAGTTGAGAAAGGAGCAGGGAACCAGTCTGTAGCAGATTAAATAGTTGCAGGATTACAATAGAATACAATCCTAAAATCATTTTTCTCTCCCTGCTGACCATTACTCAACAGATAATAATGCTCAATCTCAAATTTCTTACTGGGATAGATTGATAAAGTTTGAAAGGATTACTCCAAATGAATAAATAAACCCAATATTTCTTATACTGCATAACCTATTACTATCTGTCTAGATTTAAAGTGCCATAACTCATTGTTTTACAGAATATAGATTAAATCTACAAACCAAATATGCAGGTAATCATTTTTTGTTTATAATTCTCATCTCAGAACAATAAGTTGTCAAACTAAAAGAACAGGAATGCGTTTAAATACAGAAGTGCACCATATCAACCAAACATATTTGTATGAACTTATTTCCTCATAATGGAAATATATCACTTTAATTATGAAACCTTACCTCTGTGTACATTCTAACATAGCCTGAGGTGAAACCTAGAACTACACAGGTCCAGTCTGGGGCTCCATGAGATGATCTCTTCTGTGAGGCTAAAGGGACACACATTGCACATGTGATGCACTCCCTGGAAGCAAGAGAATAAACCAAGTCAACCATCAACAAAGATGATACAAGATTCAGGTAAAGTATACTTTCATCACATTCCTAATAAGGACAATTATATTTTAATCACTGGATTCAGGTTTCCTCCAAGAAGAGTGTGTCGTGCCCTACAAGAATTCTCAGGCAACAAATGTATTCTCTTTTTTCAAATGGAATTGGGTAGACATATTCCTCCAAAAAACAATGAATCATTTCATAATAACTTCAGCTTCATCAATCTCACAAACATATTTTATAAACACATTTTTAGACAAAAATATATTTCTATGTAAAAAATAATCTACATATTATTGTCAAAAATGTTCCATAACTCACCCCTCCTCCTGATTCAACATTCCTTTGTAAATGATGTGATATTTGTTATCTACGCCATCCTTCTCCTCGGGATCCCACTTTTCTGTATTACAAAATAGAAGACAAAAACCTTGTCATGAAAAATGAACTAAAAAGAATGTCCATCTGTAATTCCTATCAATGAATATGGATGTTTAAAAAGATATTTCTACATTTCACGGAACACTTCTGCATATCTAACTGGCTAAATTGTGTACTCCTGAAACTTAGTTGTCTTTGACTGGTTAAACATTAAAAATAACAATAGTTTTATGCTTAAGTTTAATAAAATATTCTGGATAAATAGGACAATTTTTTCTTCAAATCAAAGTTTTGATACATGGTGCATGACTGTCCATGTCAAGAGGGTTCCAGATCTATGTCTTTTTGCTTGGAGTGAAAGTCAATAGTGGTTCTTCAATGAGAAATCTTTATCAACCTGACTGATGGCATTTTCTTTTAAATAGAAATGAGTGATGAGTAAAAATATTTTTGAAATAGACGAGATATCCAGATATAAATACTCACGCTGTAAGAAGACAGCTTTTTGTTCAAAGGCAATGACCATTAGCTCACTAGTGGGTGATAGAGCTATAGAACATTCCTGCATCCAAGCATCCTGGTCTGGAGGGCCCGCTTCAACCTCACTCCCTTCCTAATCATCAAAAACACATAGAAGCACTTACTTTGTCGACATCAATGATCATAACTAGTGAATACTGAAAGATAATACTTTTGGTTCAAAGGAATGATCATAAATGTATAAAGCTCACTAGTAGTGGAGGGAGCTATAGAGCATTCCTGTATCCTAGCATGTTGATCTGGTGATGTGCTACAGTCATCAAAACACACATGGAAATATTCTTACTTTGTGGATTCCAAAGGAAAGGTTGTGTAAAGATAAGAGGTAGAATTTAATGATTAGCAATGAACAATTCTTACAAACTTTGAGTTTGCATGGGAGAACTTCCCCTATGAAGATATATCATCTGAAACATTAATTTACAATTTTAAAGACATGAGGAAAAAAAATACAAATACATGTACAAATATCAACCAGAAGCACAAGTGCAAAACACATCATGTGTTTATCGTTCTTGTGCAAGGAACATTCATTAAATTTTGATGCACATGTTACTACTATAACATTCTACCATTGAGGGGGGGGGGGGGTTAACACAGGTATAATTTGCAAAATAAAAAAGGTAAACAACATTCATTGCACTATATTGTTCTGCTTTCTGTCTATACATTTATTCCAGAACAAATTTGACGATATAAAACATGAAATTTTAGTTAAACACACATATATTATAATGGGTGAAAAAACATGAAACTGAGAAATATGCCACTATATATCAATTAAAATGACAGCAAAACATGCAAATCTAAAAGGCTAAATGAAAAATAAAGAGGGAGAAACTAAAATGACACTCACTTTTTGAAAAGCAACAGCATTTAGTGATGTTTTCACATTAAGACTCACACTGTTACTCTCCTCTCCTGACCATGACCAATCTGCATCCTCCCAACCATCTGGAGTAACAAAATGTTTCAAGGGGATTTTTACATACTAAAAGGTTCAAATTACACTCTTTATTTTTTTTTACACAGAATACTACTTGAACTAAAGCTTCTACAAAACTACCCATGCACACTTCCTCTTTAAGTGCTTTGTTGAAAGTGATGTTGATCCTCATCAAGATAATTAAATTAAAGGTCAAGTGACATCCAAATATAAGTTGATTCCTGTTGATGTGCAGGGCTGCATACAAGTTTTACAACTCATATCTTATTATTCAACATTTTCTCAGACCTGCTAAGCTCCACCCTAAAAAAAATGCTCCAGATCTCATTCAACTGAATTGTGACACCATCTGTCAATCATTATTAGTGAGCTAACATGAGACAGTGGTATGTAACTTCCCCAAGCTCAGCACATACTTACAAAAGAATTGCATTCTTTCATACGATACTTCCACATTACCATTCTTTTCCTGCTGCTGCTACAGCACGTCTGACATAGCAACTCCCATGTTGGTCTATTGTATACAGGTGGTCAGCACTTTGGCGCGTTGGCAAGATTCATTCATGTCTCCCTAAGACCCTATAGGTTGGCGCGTTAGGTTGGCAGTTGGGGCGCTGGTCCGATAATGAAGATCGTTCGCATAAACGAGCAGTAAAAAAAATACACGGGGGTTCAGGGCAAATTATTCCTCGAAATGCCAAAAAGAGCCCCCGAAAGTCATAAAAGAGCCACAAAAAAATTGCATAGAGTTCAATGCAAAACAGCTTGAAAAGTAGCCCCCGAAATTTTATAAGTGTGTTTTTCCCCTGTAAACGAGGATATCCTTGAAAACGCGGACCAATAGCGTCCTAAAAAATAAGGAACGTCTGCATTTTCGCTGACGTTTCGTTTTCTTTGGCGCTCTGCGGGTGTAGGGTTTCCGATCCGCGCGCTGGCAATGCGAAAAACAGATTTCACCTAATAAAATACCCCCAGTTCACCATCTACATTTATGGGTTGTCCATCTTCACGAGGATTTATCATTCATAAAATGAAAGTCTCTGTGCAAAATCAACATGAAATGCATCCAGTCCTGAGCATCATCGCGGAATCCGTTTTTCACATCGCCAACGCGCGGATTGGAAATAGGTCTAAGAATTGTCTGTGAAAATCCTTACTTTTTAAGACTCGTCTAGATCTATCTGCGTTTACGAAGACGATCCTCATTTATGCAGATTTTCCTTATTCTCAGACCAGCGCCCCTACTGTACCGGTAACTGTTTGGTCGACCAAAAATCCGAAATCCGCATGGTGGGGTATTCTCAAGTTTTTCCTCTAGGGTAGAGTGCCCAGTATTCGGTCACTTAAGGGGAAATCACTAATATTTTGAATTCTTACCTCTTTTATTTGGCAATCTACCCAACAAAAGAAAAGAAATTTATTCCTCTAACAGGATTTTATAGTCACTTAAAATATAGAATAATGATAAGCAAAATACTTCCGAAAGAAGACGGAGCATTTTTCTGCCCAGAATTCGGTCGCGCCGATTAGAATTCGGTCACGCGATTTGTGCATGGTATCTCCGTTGCAAAGGAGCGTAGCGTATTTGCGCACTATTTTCACACAATTGCGCGATAAAGCACTGAATGTCAATGCGTTGACCGAATACTGGCTGAGCGATACCGCATGGCAAGGGTATCGTATAAATACCTCTTGCACATCGGCAAGTGCGTCATTTGCAAATTCGCTGCAATGGAGTGAACACGGAAGTGATTCTCTTCACACACATACTAAATTCATTGTGACAGCACACGTAGTTGTTTCGCAATAGACTTCTACATATGGCTTAGACCGAAAGCTTCAGTCTCTATACCGTCGGTTGTTCCACTGAGACTACGTCTGGCTCCACTAGACCTCCGGTTACAGAGACAGAACGATCGCCTATGCCAGCCTATGTTGAAGATATCACGGCTAGATTTTAGCCGTTAGGCCCCTCCCACAAACATGAACAAACTTGCCACGGCCGTATTGTTATGCCCCCAAAATCCCCCAAAATGTCATTTTACCTCGTGCATATCCAATTTTACATTAGGCCTAGGCTATAATACATCGGTTCCACTTACTTACTTGATTGAAATAATCCGTTTAATGGTCCCTTTTAAGGAAATTATGGGTCAAAATCGACATCCATGTTGAAAATCTTGCAAGCCGTGTTAAACTCTCGCTGCCGTCAATCTCATCCCTTCTAGTCTACGCCGAAGGCAAAATGATTATGAAGGAAAAACTGTGCGCCATCTACACGTTCGTAATGGCGTTATCACAGTTTTTCCTTCATAATCATTTTTGCCTTCGGCGTAGACTAGAAGGGATGAGATTGACGGCAGCGAGAGTTTAACACGGCTTGCAAGATTTTCAACATGGATGTCGATTTTGACCCATAATTTCCTTAAAAGGGACCATTAAACGGATTATTTCAATCAAGTAAGTAAGTGGAACCGATGTATTATAGCCTAGGCCTAATGTAAAATTGGATATGCACGAGGTAAAATGACATTTTGGGGGATTTTGGGGGCATAACAATACGGCCGTGGCAAGTTTGTTCATGTTTGTGGGAGGGGCCTCACGGCTAAAGTCTAGCCGTGATATCTTCAACATAGGCTGGCATAGGCGATCGTTCTGTCTCTGTAACCGGAGGTCTAGTGGAGCCAGACGTAGTCTCAGTGGAACAACCGATGGTATAGAGACTAAAGCTTTCGGTCTACATATGGCTATGCATGTTAGCGCATGTGCTAAGAGAACACGGAAGTGCGGAAAGTTGTGTGACACTGACCAATTTGGAGCTAAGTTGGAGATCTTTCCGGGGCCCTAAATCTGATTTAATTTTGAGAGTTAAGAAAAGTTGTTCAGCTGCCTGAATTGTGCAAGTTTCGCGGCTCATAAATTATTTTTTAAATTGTTACAGCTGTTGAAACAGCTGTCTGACCGAATACTGGGAATAGACCGAATACTGGGCACGCTACCCTACTCTAGAATCTAGTAGGGTGTCTGAACGATTTTTCAATTTTCAATTTGGGATCGTTTTTCACCATTTTTGTTTGATATTTGAATTAAAAATGTAATCAGAATAATACATTTCAAATTTCAAGTCTCGCCGATGTTTCTATCAAAAGATACAGCCCCTTCAAAATGCTGAAATATTCATAGCATTTTGCTCAGAATCGACGAAAAAGACGTACACGCAGAGTTATGTTGTTTTGCTAAATTTAGCCAAACAGCTGTATCGCGCGATATGCAAGCGTATGCATATCGTACGCAAGTTGCTCAGCCAATGCGCGACTTGCAAGCTTGAGCCACGCTGTCTCCGCGATATGTGCCATTGACTAGTATGGGTGGCCGTTCCCGCTATAGAACCCGGAAGTGAATACACGTTGTAGTCAATGGCAATATCGCGGAGACAATCTCCGCGATATTGCCATTGACTACAACGTGTATTCACTTCCGGGTTCTATGGCGAGAATCGGCCACCCATACTTTCATTCACTATAAGCGCACATGTTACGATGTAACCATGGTTTGGACTGAGCGGAGCTCACGCCTCCCTAATTAGCTGATTCCAAAAATGTGGGAAGGGTATTTTCAAACTGTTATAACAAATGATCCCTTGGGGCTAGCGAAAAAAAAAGCATCTGGATATTATCCTTACGTCTAGCCCTGCTTAAGCCGCGGGGGCGCAGCTCAGGAAAGTGGCAAATTTTGGAGCTAGGATGCAAACAACATTTCAATTGCTGTTTTGACCAAGATATTTTTAGAATTCTGGGGGTGGCCCCCTATGGGGAATATGGAGAAAAACCTGCTCTTTCATATGACACCTCATTTATTGAGTTTCACCTTCAGGATCATTTGTTATAAAGGTTTGAATTTCAAATTTTTCCATAAAATCATTGACCAATTTTGGATGGTCGCGCAATGCACGTAGACCACATAGGGAAGCGTACAATCTCTATCTATGGGAAGGGTTTTAGCACACAACATTGGGTGCGCGATCAGACACCCTAAATCTAGTCTCTAACTTTTTAGATCTATTATTTACCTTGAGATTCTGTAAATGTTGGCAAACATGAAGTTCCAAAACAATGCCCTGGGCCTGGACTCATATGTGTTTATGAAGTCTAACTCTTAGTTACAACCCCCCCCCCCCCCCCCCCCCCTCTTCTCCTATCCCCTTCATTGACTTGAGTTTAAAATGCATACCACGTCACAAAATTAAACCTGAGCTGAGCTGACCATCGACGATGTCATTGAAAAAATCATTTTAAAATAAAACTAAACTTACCTGTATCCTTTCCTCCTTCATCTTTCTTCCAGTTAGGGAACAGATATCTTTGAACAGCAGCAATATCATAGAAGCATCCAACATTTGTTAAAACACACGACATACTGAGAAAATATCAATCAATTTGGGATCATATGCTTGCTGAATTTTGGTTTTCTGCCAACTAGATCTATTGGAGTATTGACTGTGTACATAGTACATACAGCACTGTGTACTGCACTAGTACTGCACTGCACTTTACTACTCCGCGCTCGCGATCTTCGCTCCCGATCCCCCAACTAGTAATAGTTTGTTTACAATATAATTTGCAAATCTGCGCTATGAAATCTCATGAGATGAATGCATATCTGCATGGAACTATAGCACAGCAATGACAAACGTAACGTACGTGCGCGCAATTCAAGATGCGGGGGAAATTTAACATTGCAGGACAAATAAGTGAATAACAACCATCGTCGGCGTCGCAGTGAAGATTAAATATAAAATTACAAACAATGAAATGACTGGAATTTTATGAACGTTGAAAGATTTAATGGAAAACCTGTCTGTGAATCCACGGATACTCGCATCCTTGAAAAAGGGTAATAATCTCAAATTTAAAATTGAATTTTATACCAGAAATTATATTCAGTCCCACATTATATTATTGATGTGTTCGTGTTAGTGTTAGCAATAGCAGGAACAAAAAAAACATGAAAGTGAAATGTGATGTGCGTGTGTGAGTGTGACTAAAACCTAAAGGGCGAGGTGAAAGTATGAAATATGATATTGATATCGCCTAGCGTTAATTGACCCTACCTCAAATACGATGTTAATTAATTAGGTGTCGTCAATTGTCACGAAAGCGCAGATTTTTAGTGAATTCTGGTGAGTATCGACTAATGTTGACTAGATCTAAGTAGTAAGTAGACCTATTGTAGACTCTAGGTCTACAGAAAATAATCGATGGTGGTGTTTGATAATTTTTAGAATCGAATTGAGGACAATAGAGGGTGTCTGAACATTATTCATTACACACAAAGTATATTATATACCTCACTTAAGTAATCCAGCAATCTGATTGGTCGAAATTGCATTCATAAACTTTAACTGTTCCCGAAAATTCCCGGTAACCATGGTTAAAAAACAGTTCAAAATCCCGATAACCATGGTTATTGGGAAAATAGGTCAGTCTCCATGGTTACCCCATAGGTTTACATGTTAAAAAATGGTCTGAGCGATCGAGGATACCGTACGTGTGCGAAGAATTGGTCGGTAATTTCAATACAATTGAATCTTGATCGATCTTACCGACAATTTTATCTTTTATCTTTATTGTTGACATGAAGACGAAAATGAACTTCCAAAAACAAAAAACAACATCTGCCGATAGATCTTGATCTAAGTTCGTGCCAATCTGCATTGCAAAAGTAAAAGAAGGGCCCGTTTAATGGAGCAGCGGCGAAGCATCGACCACGCGAAGCCGTTTTCAATTCATTTTAATGTATATATTAAAGAAAACTACTGTGCATGGTGACAGAGCGCGCTGGCCGAGAGGTTTAATGTGCCGACTTAAGTTACATCACCTTTGATATGCAAGGTTTTTTTTGTTTTGTTTTTGTTTTTTGTTTTTTGGGGGGGGGGCATATAAAAGTATTAATGACTGCTTTAATATTCGAGAAATAGTTGTTTTTATACGCTCTAGGGAAGGTTACAATTGGGCTATTCCCCTCGGAGCGTATAAAAACAACTATTTCTCTCAAAGCAGTCATTAATACTATACTATTGCTGCTATGAGATGCAACACCTAACTTTTAGTTAGACCCTCTGGTTTATACACAAAATAGTGATGCTATGACTGAGTGAGACAGAGGAAAGTTTCTCTATTTAACTTTCAAACACCACTGTACAAAACTTACCCAAATTCACTTAACATTGTACTGACAAGTGATAACACCTGATATATAAAATCATGCACACGTCTTTTAACACTGTTTGTTAATTATTTCATGTATTTGTAATCATTTTTTTATGTACAGGGCCTCTCAGAAAAACAGTATTAATACTGAGTGAGTTATTCTGTCTAAATGAAACAAATAAACAAATTACAAAAAATCAATGAAATACAATAAATTCAATTCACCAATGTTTCAACTTTCAAAATATCCTGTGAAAAATATAACCAGAAATCTAATTTCTTCTGGCAAATTGGTATGTTGTGATCATTGTGTACATTTCTTTGTTGCTACGAGTTCTCTGTGTAAAGCCCCTTTCACACCGGATCTGCGTAGAGTTGCGTAGTGTTGCGTACCGACTACACCGAAGTTAAGCTGCCTACTCATGAATAAATTGATGCTTCGGCGTAGTCCCTGCGTAGGTTATGCGTAGGCTTGCGTACGATCGGCGTATAGTTACGTACCCTGTGCGTAGGCACCGCGTACCTTCGGCGTAGGCAATTGGCGTAAGGTTACGTACGGTTGCGTAGGCCTGGCGTAGGGTTGCTTACGGTTGCGTAGGCCTGGCGTAGGGTTGCTTACGGTTGCATACGGTTGATTACTGTGGGAGAAAATGCCATGTAAAAATGCAATAGACGCTCGTAGGAGCCGCGAGTATAGCCATTGGCGCTTTATAAACATATATAATAAAAAAATATGTTAAAAAGACAGTTCAATTTATTGTATAAATGAACTGTGCAGTGTACAAAGAATTGTACATGTTATTACATGTGAAGATAACTTGATCTTAGTATAATCATAACATTCTGACAAACTGTGACATCCAAGGGGCAGTGGGTCTCTTTTGCATGCGTGAAATAGGGCTGAAACGCCAATTTGCGTAAAATAGTGAGTGCAGAAAATAACATTTATAAACCTGCCATAAGTTTTACTAGTAAAAAGTGGCATTTGGTACACGTTTTTGACCGTTAAATTTTCAGTTTTTTTAGTAGGTATTAGCAACTGCTGAGGTTATTTTGCAGTAATGTTAATTTGTTCAAGATTTTATTTTCCAAAAAATGCAGACATTTTTGTTGATGTACTACATTATTGTACTATGTATCATTGCAAAGGGTAATATATGAACTTTCTTTTGATAAACATTGCAAGGTCACGTGATGTGATTTGATAACTCAAAACGCCAACAAAAGAGAGCGCTTATTTTGATTTGTGAATAAATGTGGACTGAAGTTTCGATATTTGTTGACCATATCTCTTTTTTTCACTCATTTGTAATATATCATTCCATAACAGTTTCCTGAAAGTTTGAAGACGATATCTGTTGTCCTTGGTCCGTAGCGTATTTGTGTGTGACAATGTAATGATATAGATGTTAGTCATTTATTAAATTTAAAGAAATACTTCTGACATACACACTCACTCAGTCTCATTAACAGAGTGAGAAAAAAATATTTCTTTGCTCATTTCAATTAAACAAAATTATATTACAAACATACAAACAGGACCACAAACGTACACACAAGCAAACAAACCGACACAAATACATACAGATTTCCACAAAACATAATACAATTTTCGCATGAGGCATCAGCTTATGAATCTTATCTCTGTTTATTATATCAACAGCCTGAGATGTCAATTATCACAAATTTAATAAACCATAACAAAACAAAAAATGTCAGTCTGAAATACCTTGTAGTGGTACAAACAGAATAACAAGCAAGAATGATCAATGATCAATATCTGCCAAGTTTACATCCAGGTCCCCAAAAAAATCTTTATACCATACGTTTTTAATGCTTCGTCGGACTGGCGTAGGGTAGCGTATTGTTGCGTAGGCTTGGCGTACATTTGCGTAGGCTTGGCGTACAGTTGCGTAGGCTTGGCGTACAGTTGTGTAGTAAAGTCTACGCCGAAGGTACGCGAAAAAAATTAAACATGTTTAATTTTCTGCGTTCATCTCGCGTACCCATTCGCGTCCCTCCGCGTACAGTTGCGTAGGGTTGCGTACGATAGGCGTAGGGTTGCGTACTCTACGCAACTCTACGCAACTCTACGCAAGGCCCGGTGTGAAAGCCCCTTAAGCTATATATGCAAAAATTCAGTCATAACAAACTCGATCCATACCTTACCATGTCGGGCATATATGTAAAAACCCATTAAATTTTCACAGGTCGAAACACATCATAGGGACTAATCTTTGGTGGTCAATTTTATTAACATCTTCAAACAATAATCCTTACTAATTTTGTAAAAGGAACAAAGATGGCAAGTGGTTATAAAACAGCCTGTATTACTATTACCGGTATAAGAAAAGGAATGTGGACTTTTTCAAGCTAAAGGCCATGTGAAAGTTTGTTATTTGTGTGTATGTTCACAAAATCTCCCTGCAGTTGTCTGCAAACAGATGCAAAAAAATAGCCTAGATATGCAGTGTGGTAGTTAAGGTATCAATCACTCTCACTTTCAAATGGTCAGCAAATGGTTATATTGTCAATTATGAGTTGTGGTTATTTATTTTTTAAATCCTTTTTGTCTTCTTCCTTTTTAGCTAATCTTAGGAGCTTTGAATCTGTACTTCATCTTTCTCCTGCTGATCTGGGAAGATGTACTAAGTTGTCCTCAAGAGATGTCTCCATCATCCTCAAGGCTGTATCAGAGGAGGTTTACAAAATCAAAAACATCACAGGTAGATCTATACAAATTCTATATGAAATGATATCACTCAAACTGGGTATTGTCAAGATTCTGTGAGATTCCTTTTTCAAAATTTGGATGAATTTGGTTATCCATATATCATTACTAGTACATATCATTTAAATTTGCCTATTTCAAAATTCAAATACATTATAGCTAAATTTATGTACATAAATTCCCCAACTATGTCTTTTCAAGTTTCTCCAAAACATCAATCTTATTGAGTCAAGACATTGTTACATCAGTAATGTGTATGTTCAATTAATATTGAACTTAATTGCACATATTTATTACATCAATCTAACCGTATTCACATTAAAATTTAATGATTCTTGAGGATCTGATTTGTCTATCATTATCTATCTCATTGCATTTCCTTTTTAACCCTTTTTTGCCATCTCTGTATGTTATTATTTTTTTCTCTCTTTCTCTCTCTCTCTCTCTCTCTCTCTGCCTTTCCCTTTATTACAGCCTTAACTCTTTTCAAACAAAGCCATCAAGAAGATCGTAAAGAGCCTACTCACTTGACCACAGGATGTCCAATCCTTGATGAATTCCTTCATGGTGGAATCCTAGTAAAGGGCATCACAGAAATAGCAGGACAGAGTGCTGCAGGCAAAACACAGCTATGTCTGCAGCTCTGTCTTACAGCACAGCTGCCTGTCCAGCAAGGTGGACTTGCTAATGGTGAGCTGTTTAGAAGTAGTAACTCAGTTACTCAATTTTGTTTTAAGGAAATGTTTAAAACTAATGGATATTGTTGGTCAAAATCAAAGTGGTAACCCCCACCCCCCCCCCTGCACTTAAAAAAAAATGTTTGATACAGCCACAAGAGTGGAACACTACCCATTCAAAGTTAGCTTGGAAACTACTGTACCGTACTTGTATCTTATTAAAGCTTTCAAGTCTATTTGAAAGACTAGATAGTTTCTTTGAAATATGAATCTTTGTAAACTTAGCTGCAAAGACTGAATTCCACATGAATGTGACATTTCATAGTGCTAACTTTTTTCTTCAAATGCACAGAAATATTTATTTTTCTGGCTACACAATTTATTTGACACACACTTGTCGCAATCTCGATGTCATGTTTGACTCGCATAATTATGACAATGTCTAATCAAAGTCAACTATTTGCAGATCAGTAGTTACCAATTACGTAATATAGGTTTTATTAAAAAAATGTTGTCCAAATCTGCCTCTGAAAAAATAGTCCATGCCTTGATTTCCTCCCGTCTTGACTTTGGCAATGCCCTTCTGTTCAATTACTCCAGAATCTATTGTCCAAGCTCCAGAAGCTTCAAAACGTTGTGGCTTGCATGTCACTTTGTCCACCAAGCCTACCCATATCACCCATGTTTTGCAGTTGCTGCACTGGCTCCGTTAAAGATAGCATTATTTCAAAGATTTTGTTGCTCACTTTTCGCTGCATTCATGGTTCTGCTCCCCAATATGATATTTCTTTAATCCAAAATTACACATCCGCAAGATCTTTATGCTCATCCACTTCCATTTCCCTTGTGATTCCTAAAGTTGCAAAACTTGGGGGAAAGATCCTTTTCTCACTTATGGAATAGTCTTCCAGAAGACATCAAAAAGTGTATAATCTCTGATTCCTTTAAAAATCATATAAAAACACTTCTGTTTAATTCTTAATTGTTTCTACATTTGCGTTGAGCAATACACAGAGTGGATTTGGTGCTATATAGGTTGCATTTATTATTATTATTATTTTAGTAAGTTGCTCCTAGGGATTCAGCATTTCAGCATTATCTGTTCCATTAGTGTCTTGTCTTCTCCAGCAAACACTACAATAAGTCTTCAGTTGAGTTTGACAAATCCAGTTTGAAACAACTTCAATCTAATAGGGATTGAAAATTAACTTAGCTAACAGGGCTTATTGATTTTTTTTCTTTTTCTTCACAGGTGTGGTCTACATTTGTACTGAAGATGTGTTCCCTAGCAAGAGGTTACAGCAGCTGATCTCATCATTCAATAGGAGGATTGGGCCTGCTCTTGCTAAGCAGCTGGCTGTAGGAGATCATATCTATGTAGAACATGCAGCAGAGAAGGTAAAACTGGCTCCATTGTATTTGATGTACATTTTAAGATATCATTGTTTGTCTGAAAGGAATGGGATTCTTAGTTCATAACAAACTGTGCTGATATCTTAGAGAATGATATGCATGTAACTTAGGCAGTAAACATTTTTTTTCTTTAAATGAACATCTGAACCGTGATTCTTAAACTAATGTTCTTTAAAGCTAGTCTGTGATGACTTTGCTGCCTGTTTAGTCATTTTTTTAAAACTCTTAATGCCAAAGTAATCACTTTGCATTCATAGCTGTAGCTGAATCTAAATATTGTTAGCCACCTGTTTGAGATATTTCTATTAAGAATACATATCCTATATTCTATATGTTTCATGATGAAACAATTTTAATTTGCCATACTCCAAAACTGTACAGCAATGCGAAAGTGGACATAGCTCATAAGATGAATCCTGCTCTATATGATTTGCACTCTCAGCTTTCACCTTTGACCTTATGTTATTCCTTAGGATCAACTGTGGCATTGCCTGGAGAAACGTCTCCCCCTCCTGCTATCCAGAGGTATGGTGAAGCTAGCAGTGGTCGACTCCCTGGCAGCTATTTTCAGGAGTGAGTTTGAGCTGCGGGACACAATTAGACGAGCGAGGGAGCTGCAGCGTGTAGGCGCTCATCTACATAGGCTCAGCTCCCAGTTCAATGTTGCTGTAGTGTGTGTGAACCAGGTGAGTTATTTTACGAAACAGAGGAGTAATAAGCTTGAATTTATCATGGTTTCCAACCAATAAGTATTAATATGATATGTTATTATCATTATAGTGGTTGGAAACAAAGTGTTCATCTCCGGTGTTTCTCATTTCTACTAGACATACATTTAGATTTTGCAATATAATTTCATATATATTTGTTGAAGAAGTTGGTTTTGAAAGGAAAGTCCACATATTGTAAACATTTTGAAAGAAATATATTTTAATGGAAAAGCTGTATCTTGTTTAAGTTTACATTACTCATAATGCTATGTGGGATCAAATTTGTCATCACTTATTTTCTCTTTTTCTTTTCTTTTCTTTTCTTGAACCAGTAGGTGCTTCACCTGATAACATCCTTGTATACCATCTTTGTATCGAAAACTTAAAGAAGATATGCCATTATATGAGCTAATGTAATAACATTTACTTTCTGTTGAAATATGTAATGGTAACAATATCTCCTTTTGTCTTTTTGTTGATAGGTAACAGCAAATATGGAAGCATCCCTGGATCCCACGGAGTCAGAAATGATGCCTGCCCTTGGTCTCACCTGGTCTAATATTGTCAAGGTTCGACTCATGCTAAGTCGCACACCCTACAGGCTGCCCCCATCGGATACCACAAACAATAGAACTGATAGAGGATCTGTAAATGGAGAATGTAGCCATGAAAGTGAACAGAAAGCAGAGATACCTGTCAGACAGATTGAGATCCTATTTGCTCCTCATTTACCCAAAGAGGTGTGTTACTACATTGTGGATGCTGATGGAGTCAAAGGATTACAGTGATCTATTGAGGAGCAAAGCATCTTATAGAGATATGAGAAACAGACAGTAGTTGAGATATAAAATCAAGTGCCTGAAAGCCAGTAAAACTGTACAACAGATTATGACTAGATTTTTAAATATGTTGGGGTAAGATTAGATATGAAATGTAGATTGAGTGAAAAGACTACATTGAATCCGTGATGAATAGAGAGTTTGTCATTTCAAATTCAGCGTATCCGCTTCAGTGCTACGAGTGGTAATCAATGCCAAAGAATTTGAGATGGTATATGGACTAAGACCCAATGTAATATTCATGAAATAGTAGGGGAAAACCCTGATGGTCCATCTGCTCTCCCCAGCGTGTATAAGGAGGAGATACTCAAGGGTTATAGTGATTAAATGATTCAGAATACTTAATAGTAGTAATAAAAAGAATGGGTATTTATTTTGTTTTTAAACTTAAGATGGTGTAGGAATTATGAGATTATTCCAATGACAGATAATCTATGCCAAATTGAGCAATGAAAGATGGTTTAGAAGTTTATTTTCAGCTTGATAGCACAGAATAGGGTTAAAGACTACTTAAAGGTACTATTTAACATTTTTTAAATGATGCCATGCATTTTGCATATTATTCAAAAATGTGTTCAGCAGCAAGGCATCCAAGAAAACATACATGTTCTGTAAGGTTCTGTAAAGCTCTTCCCTAAATAAGAATGTCTCACCATATTCGTGTGTGTACCTTTCCAGTTCACCTAATCAAAACATGGTACAGTATAAGAAAAATGATAATAATAATATACCCAAAAAAATTCTTATGCAGAATGCCCTGTTAATGCAATGATCTTTCTACTTTGCTGAAACTTTTGTTTTTCAAATTTTGCACTTTTTGATAAATCTACATAATCTGGTTACAATTTTAGGGTAAGATCTAATAGCATCATATTTCTTCAGTGGGCTATTGGTTGGTACCACTTTGTAAAAATTTGTTATGAAATGTATTTGTGACAATAAAGATGTAATAATGAAAGATGAAATAACGTGACTGAACTATGGTACATGAGAAATAATGATTTATATGTTGTTTGTATGCCAAAGAATTTGCTCTAATTAGAGGATGTCTGGTTAGATAGTACTGCCTTGTGAAAATAGGATTCAGAACACATTTCAATGTAAGATGATAGATATTTAGCCATTTTTTGATGAAAGTCTGTACCCCCATTAATTGCATCACTACATGATCCATAAGTAATTCATTTAAGAAATACAAGATTACAGAACAGAGAACCCAGTCCCTGGATAACCATGATAGTACAAGTCCAATAAGATGTAGGTATTCCTGAACTGTTACATCTGTCGATTTTAAAAGTATGTTCTATTATTATAAATGCAACATTCTGGTGTTTTTAAACAATTAAGATTATTAAGATTTAATCTTTCCTTAATTATTGATTAGTCATGTACATAATGCTTAGATGTTTTGTTATGTGTCTCCATAAAGTATATTTTGTGTTACAAATGTAGTCCTGCATTGAGGCAATATTTTAGTGGCCTGTATGGCCTTGTACCAAGTCACTTTACAAAACCCATGGAAGTAATATTTTCCAGGGGCCTTGTGACTATTTTATCAATGTCTTTGTAAAGAGTTTCCAGTTTATTAACAATCAATCCTAGTTCTTCTTCATATATTTTCTTATTTTATTTTGCTCATTAATACAATAATATCTTCATTCTGAAATTATGATGTAGCATTTTAAAGTCTTATCTATGATCAAATTGTGCATTTGCCAGTATTTTGTCTGTCTGATTGTTTATTTGTGTTTCTTAGATTCTTTTATGTATGTTTTATTTTAATGTGTAAAACTCTAGAAATGAATACTAGAATTTTTTTAAGCCCTTTCGTTTTCCTTGGACATTGTTTTTTCACCCCACCCTAAAATATATATATATATATATATATGTATTTATGTAGAGAAAATGATATGAACCTTGCCATGATCACTCAACTTGTGTTTAAGGGTTAGCTGTCATAACAAATTGGATTAATGTTTTTTTCTTCAATCTTGTCATAATTACCTTACAAAGTTTTCTAAGTCTTGACTGATAAAGGAAATTTGATGTGTCTCTGAGAAAGTTTTTTTGAGAGGATATGCAACTCTGTAAAGTCTATTTTGTTTTGTGTTAGTGAGTTGAATTTATTTACTGTTGTCCAGATAATAAATTATCAGTATTCCACAAAGTTTCATTCAAACTTTCTTTATGCTTTTTCATCTAGGAATTTAGCAGTTTGAGCAAATCGTTGTCCCATATGTTGCAGACAACATTGGATAATTGTGGATGTCTCTTTTTGGTTAAAAGTCTGATAAAGCACTAGATCAGACCAAATATGAACTCAAATTACACATTTGGTGTCAAATTATTTTCAGATCTATATTATACATACTATCATATGGCACAACAAATGACTAACTAGCTTGAATTTTCCCGTATATGGATATACAAACATTTCCATTACTTATATAAAATGTAGAGTAGATTTGATAGGGGATTTTTTAGAATTTCATATATATTTACATTAATGTCACTATTACAAAACAGTTATTACAAATCACTTTTCAACCTTTGATTAAATAAATTGACTTTCACTTAAGAGTAATCATGATAATTCCACTTATAGCTCATTAGCTTAATTTGATGAAAATCAGTGCAAATTGTACACACTGGTGCCGCTAATTTTCCCTGTCACCAAAATGATGCCACATCCATTAAAAAAACAAGTAACAACTATCCCCAAATTTGGTTCTTGACTTGTTAGAAGAAAAAAAAACTAAATTTAATTATGCAAACTCACAGAAGAATGATCAATTGAATGGAAGAAGAGAAGTATATAGGAGAACATTAAGCCAGTTTTTTTTTTTATCAAGGTGCCATTTTACATTCAAAAGTTAGTGAGTGTCCCTTTAATAAATCCAATTTTTACCTACTAAGATTTTGAATTGATTATGAAAGTCAAAGTTAAAAACTTGTATTCTAGTCATTCCTTATCAAAGCTCCTAAAGTGTTGGGTGCCTCAAATTTGCCAAAAAATATTGGCAAAATTTCACCAAAATGGTATAATGTAAAAGAGGATGTCATTTAAGACACACTTCTGCAAAGATCCCCCCCCCCCCCACAAAAAACAAAAAACAAAACAAAACACAACAACAACAACAAACAAACTGTTTGAAGACAAATATTGATGAAAGAATACATAATTTAGGTTTTCTATGGCACGCGGAAAACCAAATTTATGTATTCTTTCTTCATTCAACTTCAAACAAACAGTGCACAAATGTTTTGAAAATCCTTGCAGAAATGTGTTTTAAATGACATCCTCTCACATTATGGCAAACTTTAAGTGAAACTTTGCTATCAAATTGTGGGGTTCCCTATGATTTGTTATTTGAATATAATTCCCCTTGTGTTTGTCTGTCTTATATCGTATTGAATTTTTTACACATTTAACTTCCCAATTAAATGCATATAAGCTCAATATGATGTACCGTATATATGTGTTTGAGGGTCACAATGATTTTTTTAAAACATAAATGAATTGAAAGGCTGACCATTCTCAAATAACTATGCTCATTTTTTGATCCAACAATGAGATAAAGTCGCACTTTTATTTCCCCGTTCTACTCTGTGTAAGATCTAATCAAGAAGCATATTTCCTAATCTGAATGAACCCCATCTAGAGCCGACATGACTGTTCTATGCTACTCATCGACCGTGTGAGTCGAACATGCGACGAAATGGTCTCCGAAACTATTCGGTTCTTGCTTCGGAAATTATAAGCCTTCCGAACATATCCGAACTAATTATATCTGCTTTCGGCCATCTTGTCGCAAACAGATGTGGATCATGAGGGAACTCGACATTTTGGGACCGATTTAGGACTAATCTGGGAAATGTACATCCAGAAGACTGAAGTAGATCTAAGCTACGTTTCTTCATAGCTATTCTCGCGAAATTTGAAGAGTTTATTCAGTTGTTGAGAACTGCGTAAGTAAATTCATTTCTGGCTCTCAATATGGGTGTTGGTGAAGATGTGGGTCGCATAGGCGCATTACACGTAGTTCTAGTATAGTGCAGCCCGACAGGGCCCGTTGATCCATTGACAGGCGTAGCGTAGATCCAAAGTCTGTGCGGTACCCTACTGACTGTGTACTGTGTGTGTGTGTGGTGAGCTGAGCTGAGCTGAGCTGAGCTGAGTGAGGTGAACCGGTAATATAATGAACACCGCATTCACAATCACAGGTTATGAACTATGATTTTTTTTAAATATCTGTAGATACAAGTTTCATCCAGTTATATATTTGTGGACTTCAAATTTACCAGCCTTCTACAACTTCTAGTTCTACCGTGTTGTTATTTTAATTTTAGCACTGTTTTGAATTTGAGTTTGACATCTTGATTCTTGGGATGTAGGCCTAGACATGACATTGATTTTCTTTTTTTCAGGGAATGCAGAATGGTGTCACAACTGTCACATAGTCATGACCACCTGGATTAAATGTTACACTTGGCAAATAAGTGCCTGTTGTTGATTTATGAGGATGTGGGATGGGCAGTGGGGCGCTGGTGCGAGAAGAAGGATCGTCTGCATAAACGAGGATCGTCTTCTAAAACGTCTTCTTAAAGGTAAAGACTAAAGACCAGTTACGGTCATGCGATTGCATTGTGAAAGAAACGTTGTGGAATCGATCAGAAAAGGTTGATCATCTAGCATCTAGCATCTGCAAGGTTGTGGAATCATCAAAATGATAAGAAGTTTGGCCCATTCTTCGTAAAGTTTCAAGCACTATACACAGAAAGATGTATATGGGACTACCCAATATCTCTCACAGACCATGAGAGAAACAAATTTACCAAATATATGAATTAGTAGGCGGTTTCCCGGCAAATTTTTTATCATGTATTAGTCAAAACATATTCTTTCACATGATTGGTAATGAGAGCTTCCATTTCATTTTTTGAAATTAGGGCGTTTCCAATACTGGTCTTTACCTTTAAACGCATACAGACGCTTCCCAAAAAATAAGGAACGTCCGCATTTTCACAGATGATTCTTATTTTCGATCGTACAGCGATTGTTGGCGATGCAAAAAATGGATTCCGCGATGATGCTCTTTGATGCATTTCACACTTACTTTGCAAAGAGACTTTCACGTTATGAACTAAAAATCGTTGGGAAGACGGACAGCCCATAAAAGTAGACGGTGAACTGGAGGTATTTTATTACACAGAATCTGTTTTTGCATTGTCAGCGCACGGTTCAGGAACCCTACACCCGCAGAGTGCCAAAGAAAAAAACATCCTCGTTTATGCGGACGATCCTCAATCCCAGACTAGCCTCCCCACTGATGGGTGTTTGGACTCTTTACTTACTACATGTAGGGTGTCTGAATGATTTTTCAATTTTCCTTTTGGGATCATTTTTCACCATCATGGTTGGAAAATTGAAGAAAAAATTTACCAGTAATTAGAATAATACTTTTCAAATTTCAGGACTCACCGCTGTTTCTATCAAAAGATACAGCTCCTCAAAGTCTAGGCAGTATTCATCCAATTTTTGTCAGAATCGACGATAATGACGTACACGCAGAGTTATTTTGTTTTGCTAAATTTAGCAAAGCAGCTGCATTACGCAATTTGCATTACACAAACACACACACACGCTGTCACACGCAGTCCTAATTGCATATGCATGTACAGATTTTACACGCCGTCGCAATGGGTTTGGGCTGGGTGGTCGCGGTGGCGCTCACGCGTCCCTACTTAGCTGATCCGAAAAATGGGGGGGGGGGGGACGGTATTTTCAAACTATAATAACTAATGATTCCTTGGGGCTAGCGAAAAAACAAGGGCATGGATCAATTCCTTACGAATGGGACTATAATCAATCGATCCGTCATTTCTAAAAAGTGTCAAATTTGTATAGTAGATATTTTTGTCTAAATGAGTTTGGGCATTTGAAGGAATTTAGCCAATTCATTTTGCGACATTAGAATAGTGAGGCGGAGCCAGGAGAGCTTGAATAGATACTGGAGGTCGATAGCAATATTTATGTTAATTTTGTTATTTGTATCGACTGCAGCATTTAAACACAAATTTCAAGGTTGTGTTTATTTTATGATACTTGATAGATCCATTTCACACCTAGTCTAACCATGGAGCTATAAGAGAGAGCTCAATGTTGTAAACATGCTTACATAGCTCAGTGGTTAGAGACATCAGTCAAGTTTGGAGAACAACAAAAAATCACTTTTATTGACTTGGTTACCAAATGCAATACAAATTAAGATGCGAACCCTAATGAGGAAGTTACATATTTACCTCTTTCTAAAGCAGAGGAGGACAATTGCACTGATAGGTTAGAAGATCATGTGCTATCTTATCATGGATTCACATGCTATTCATAGGTATTGGAATCGGGACAGAAAGAGTGCTGGTGAAGGTTCATCGTGTCTTTCTTTCCTCCTGCTAATTGCGTAGCTTCCTGTTTATGCATGTAATAATATAGGGCTGCTGCGTGTACCTGGTCAGACATGCCTCTGTCTATGTACACTTACTGATCACTGTGGAAAATTTACTTTTGTGTGGTGCTTGAACTCCTGGTTGTATTTGGCTCATTTAAGATTTGATGAACTCACTGTATGACTCGCCACTCTTGGTCCAAATCAATCGACTAATCTCCAGAAAATATTTCCTCTGTATTTCAGGAGTTCCATCAATATATTAAAAATATGAGCTTTAAATGTTTAATTCAATAAAGGGATATTTCAAGTTCAAGTACTGTTTCGATTAGACTTTCGATGAACAAAAGAGGGAATTGTGAGTAGACTAATTGGCGCATACGTACAGTACATGTACACATACGTTCAAAAGTTTGAATTGGGTACTGTGCGCAGCATATAATGTTATTCTAGATTTTCTTCATTATTATTCGTTATTCCACATAAAGCTGAGTAAAGTTTTTTTGGGTTGATTTTATTCAACCTAGGCGTATACAAACTATTTTTTCAGTTGATTGGTACACTTTAAGTCAGCCCCCTTAGATTACAGTAGACCCTAAATACCATATTTGCCGTTGTAAAGGCTGCAGTATTTTTGGAAGAGAAAATATCAAAAAGTCGGGGTGCAGCCTTTGCGGCGAAAGAGTAAAAAAATAAAAAAAATTACAAGTCAAAACCATGAAACACAGCACAAATTTGTACATATGGGACAACAATAAAAGGTGATGGACATTTCTAGACTAACACGTCTTACCGACAATTATGTGTTATATTTTTTAAATGAAGGGCAAAGTTAAGTCAATCTCGTAAATAAAATTCATAACTTACCAACCAAACTCTGCTAAAGCAACCTCAATCCTCTTGCTCGCGCGAGCAAAGCTATGGCGCAATATGTACACAAGAGAAAGTTTCAAGGAATAGCATCAGCGTCGGGATGGCCGATTTTTTTTAATGTCAAAATCGGTGGGTGCAGCCTATGCGGCGCTGCGGCCTTATCGCCAGCATATACGGTATGCATTTACATTAAGAATGACTTATGAACATCAAAATTCCTTACATATACAGAGTTATATCAAGGACATTTAGTTGTTAGCAAAATTGCCTGATTGGAGATTCACTGAAATCCCTTTTCTTCCCCCTTTTATTTTTATTGAAAAAATAACCAAAATAGGGATGTCGCATAGGTCATAAAGAACTGTTTATACTTTGGAATATTCATCTTCTTGAATTTGAAGCATACCGATACAAATCAAAATTCATATTCCTTCATTACTTCATACATCATGACCAGCACAGATAAAATGAATAGGGGCTGAAGGTGATTTTCCCCTAAACTGAAGAAGAAAAAAAAATGAATAAAGAATAAAAGGCGATACATCATACATGTATCTTTGATCACAATTTAGTTTGACTTGGAACTACTCCTTGCAACTGTAAAGTTAGTTGTTTGCAGGTGTAAACAAATGTAGAGACCTAATCATTTTAATTTACTAAAGAAACTGAAATTTTGAAATCTTCCTGAAGGGCGCACTATTGATTTGCTATTGATTGCAAAATTACAGTCGAGCATGAAGATTAAAGCAAGAAGGGTGATTCATTGCACATTGTTTGCTACTATAGCTTCTATACATTTTGACATGCTACAAACAATGAAACCAACGTTGATGTTTGATATGAAATTAATATTGATTTTAATTCTGGAAATGCTGGATTTGAATGAAGATATAATCATAGTTTGTGACCTCCCTCTTCTATTATATGATGTAGGGTTATTGTTACCCAATCTCCCCTACAATGATTTTCAACTATCTCCAATATTTTCTTCTAGGACTCACTGGCCCTGAATTCGACAAATACCTATGATGTACATGTACTGTATTTATCTGTAGTGCTCAACTTTGATTTTGATCTTTTTATATAATTTCTAAATTAAAGCGAAACTGTATAGAGGCTCTGCTACAGTTCTGCATACATACAAACACAATAACACCTGTATACATGTATGTATGAAGTGACTTTCTTTGTGCACGGATTGAAACCATCATAATTTTTAAAATCATGAATATGTATTATCAGAATTTTACTTTGAATACAACATGTACATCGTGTCTATTGTTAGTGATAAACTCCATTCAACTTAATTCAAGTTTATTTCCACCTTTGGTTTATTTTTTTTAATGCAATCAGCATGTGTATACAACTCATAGCATGGTGGGAATAACAAACAGGCCTATCAAGGTATTCCCCAGACTAAATAAAATTACAATTATGTTATGCAGTGTAATGCATACCGTAACATGTATAAATGACCTTATGTATAGAATCCTGGCTATTCAAACTAAGGTGTGACTCATCACCATGCATTGTATTCATCTCGTTACTAAATGTCAGCTGTGCCAGGCTCCAGAGTACAAGTGCATCACTTTGGGAACTGTCATAAATGGGTGTACATACATAATTATATTCTGTGTTGAGCAATTGGAGATA